ACTGTGAGAGATCTCAGAGTGAGGGGGCTGATGGGTCTCAAAATGAGGAGGGAGTTATGATGGGGTCTCAGAGTAGAGGCCGAGAGGGGCCTCAGAGTGGGGTCTGTGAGGGGTGTCAGAGTTGCGCCCTATGAGGAGTCTCAAAGTGGGGAGTGGCTGTGAGGGGTATTGGCGTGGGGACTGTGATGGGAGCCTAGAGCCTTGGAGGCCCCCGTGAGGGTGACAGTCTGGATGGGGCTCTGAAACGAGGATGGGGGTTAAGAGTGAACAGGTGGTGGAAGATGTCTTCCAGCTGTGAAAGCCATGTTGTGGGTGTGACCCCAATTCAAGGCGGGCACTGTCGTGTCTGTGGTCGCCTGGCAGAGGTGGGGGCTGACACACAGACACCCCCACCCCAGCCCCCAGTCTCAGCGAGTAGGAAGCTGCAGAGCCAGACAGCAGGCCTGCGTGAGGACCTCCCTGACCGCAGTCCTCTCCCCACGGGCGCTCAGGGAAGTGGGCATTTCCAGCTCTTGCTGAGGAAACGAAGCAGGGTGGAAGCTGCTGCCTTGTGAGGAGGAAGCGTGGGCCGCTCGCGCCACAGCTACCCAGTCCCCACCCTGGAGCCCTGAGTTCTCCAATGGTGTGTGGGAGCTCGCAAAGCAGGGCGTGGCTGACTGCTGGGCTGTACAGGTGTCCAGTGACTCCTCAGCTGTCATTATGTTCTAGGACTCAGGTCCCTGGGGGAGGTCGTAGTGATTCCCCTATACAACCAAGTCTGGGTGTTCTTTGCACCCCAAAGAATAGCAAAATGGCTTCCAGATCAGTACTCCCCAAATCACGTGTGCCCCAAGATGCTCCAAGTGTCAGTACTTCTCCAACGTCTACTGTCTTAATAGATATGGACAATTGAAGATGTCACATTTTGTACTTCCCCCCAGAACCCTGGGGTGTGGCCTTGTCCTCACTCCCCACAGTCTCAGGGGGACAAGGAGCCCAGCCACCTCATCCTCCTTGTCTCGTAGGTGCCCCCTCCGGGTCTGTATCCCCTCCCTCACCGTCAAGACTGAGAGCAGTGAGGGCCTGTCCAGGGAGGGGACGGTGGGCTGTTGCTTGCTGCTGCCCCCTGGTGAGCCATACCATGGCTGCAGGTCTGTCTGACGCCACCAGGCCTTGGGAACTGTCTATGGAGTGGCCACCTCTGTGGGCAAGGGTGCTCAGGGAGGGTCCACAGCCTCGAGTGCAGGCAGTGGTGCAGTGGGCAAGCGGGCTAGCTGCGGAGGCCTCCAGGTTGGTGACAAGTTCTAGGATGGGAGATGGGCCCATGCAGAGGAGCTGGGACCTAGGGCTGTAGGGCCTAGGGCAGGTACCTGGCCTCCCCTGACCTCAGGGGTGCTGCAGGCAGCAAACCATCAGCATTGACAGCTCAGAGCAGAGTCCTTTAGGGGGTGTCTTACCATTTCTGCCACCAGCTGCCCCCATGACACTCTCTGCTTATCTGCGAGTCTGGTCATGTTTGTTGATGACCGTGGTGCCCATGGGGTTTACCAGGGAAGAAGCAGGTTACAGCTCAGGATCAGAAATAACCCTGGGTACAGTTCTTCAGAAGACCTGCCTCTTCTCAGCCCGAGGTGTGGACCCCTGGTTGACTCCAGAGTGTCCCACAGGCCAGTGGGCACCTTGCCCTTCAGTGACCTTCATGACAGATAAAGTCTGAAACTGGCAGGAGGCCAGGCGGGGGAGATCCTGAGGCCAAACCTTGGCTGTCTTATCAGTCTGTCCCCAGGATCTGCAGTGGGTGTGTCACTGTCTCCAGGCCAGGGCCAGCACAGCTTCAGCTCCAGAGCAGCCCCGAGGGGCAGGCAGCCCTTCCAGCTCTGGACCAGCCCAGGGTCCATCTGCAGCTTTGACCATGGCCAACCCCGTCCTGTTCTCAGCCCAACGAGTGGACTCTCTGCTTTGGCCGCAGCATCTGGGGCAGACAGGCAGGGAGGGAGAGATCGACTTTTGAGAAACTTCCGGGGTTTCCTGGGCTGCCCCCACTGTCCTGGGTCTCTGCTGTGGGCCTAGCAACTTGAGGCCACTTGGTCAAGGCACAGGCAGTGTCTATTGGCTAACTGCCTCCAGCCCAGACGTGTCCAGGATCCGAGTGCTTAGGGGAGGTTCAAGCATCTTAGGGGAGCTCGAGGCAGAGTGGAGAGGAACTGGAGGGCAGGTGGCTGGTCAGGAGCTTCCACAAAGGCAGGGCATTTAATGGTCCCCAGAACAGTTATGGGAATGAGTCCTCCAAGGCAGGTTTCCATGTCTCTCAGAGGTCAAGGGTCTTCCCATACGGGGTGCAGGGGTGAGTGGACTGCTTTGCACCTGCTGTTGGCTGCAGGGGTGGGATCCAGGGCAGTGGGACCTGGGCTTTGTCTGGGGACTGTTGAGCTGGCACGAGGTCTGGCCACCTCTGAGCCTCCTTGCTGAGAGCTGGGCGTGGCGGTCGGCCTCTGTGGTCCCCGCTGTCCGGGCTCCCTGTCCTGAGAGATGATGGGCCTGGCTCCTGGGGCTGTAGGATGGGCCAGTGTGCTGGGTGGGAGACAGGGCACCTCCTGCCATCCTTTCTGTCCAACAGCAGGGCCCCTCTGGGCTACACTGTGCTTGATTCCGGGTGTCCAGTGTGTGAATGCCTGTTTCTCCACTGATCCAGCAGGCAGAGACCGGGCCTCCCTCCAGCGCGTGTTCTGTGGATAAGCCCTCTGGGCCCTTCCTCTTCTCTGGAGCACTTGCAGCATGAACATATCCTGTAACTTTAGCCAGAAGTTCTGGCCACCCTCGGTCACCTACCTGTCCATGGCCTACACAGGCCTGATGCTGGTGGCCGGCCTGCTGCTCAACGCCGTGGCTCTGTGGGTGCTGTGCTGCCGCCTGCCGCGGTGGACGGAGACGCGCATCTACATGGTCAACCTGGCGGCGGCCGACCTGTGGCTGCTCTGCGCCCTGCCCTTCGTGCTGCACACCCTGAAGACGGAGACGCAGGACGCGCTCTTCTGCTCCTTCTCCCAGGGCATCTACCTGCTCAACAGGTACATGAGCATCAGCCTCATCACGGCCATCGCCGTGGACCGCTACCTGGCCGTGCGGCACCCGCTGTGCGCCCGCGGGCTCCGCTCGCCCCGCCAGGCGGTGGCCGTGTGCGCTCTGCTCTGGGTGCTGGTGGGAGGCTCGCTGGTGGTCCGCTCGTTGCTGGGCATGCAGGAGAATAGAGGCTGCTTCTTTGGCCAGTCGTCGAACCACATGGTGATCTTCTCGCTGCTGGGCTTCTACCTGCCGATGCCTGTGCTCGTCTTCTGCTCTCTGCAGGTGGTGACTGGCCTGGCCCAGCGGCCAGCAGCAGACTCGGCCCAGGTGGAGGCCACCCAGAAGGCCACTCGCATGGTCTGGGCCAACCTGGTGGTGTTCATAGTCTGCTTCCTGCCACTGCACCTGGTGCTGACCGTGTTCCTGGCCATGAACCCACCCACTTGCTCCCAGTACCAGGCCATCATCACCTCCTCAATCCACTTCACCTCCATGCTGTCCAACTCCAATTGCTGCCTGGACGCCATCTGCTACTACTACATGGCCAAGGAGTTCCAGGAGGCCCGCGTGGCCAACCCTAGGGTCAAGGCCCACAAGAGCCAGACCTCCCTGTCCATGACCCTTACTTAGGAGCACGCTGTGGCCAGGCTTTCTGGTGGTGCTGGGGGGCACTGTGGTCACCATGCAAAAGCCCTAGGGCCTCTGGGGACCTGTGGGATGGGGAGAGAGACGGGGACAGAGCAGAGAGGTGAGGCCTGAGCCAGGCCAGCCACAGGCTTGAATGGCTTACCCACCTGGACAGCTGGCAGGCACACGTGGAGCACAGAGGCCATCTGGTGGGTGAAGGTGTAGATTAAAGCTCCCCACGAAGGTGCAAGGTGGAGCTCCTGGAGGAAAAGGAGGCCAGGCTGGGAGAACTGAGGCTGTTTCCCCAGGGGCCTCGGCTCTCACTTGGAGGCCTCCCTATTCCTGTCATTGTCTCACCTCCCCCACCCAGCTGTGAGGAGGTCTGGGGTCACAGCTTCTGACGGATATGCTGCTCCCCCATCTCTGTGTGTGTACTGAGGCTGGGAGCAGGGCCCCTGACTGTGGGGCAGGTGTAACAGCAGTGTGAGCCGAGCGCAGCTGCCTCCCCTGACAGCAGCTCCAGCCTAGAGCCCATGGCAATGGTCAGAGCTGGGTCACCACCTGGACTTGGCCACGCCCTCCTCTCCACTCCACTGCAGTCTACCAGCAGCTCTAAGGCTAACCTCCCCCCATAGCCATCTAGAACTTGTGTGTCTGTGGTGTGATACAGGCTGACTCATTGGGAGTCTGGTGGCTGGGAGGTACAGGGTCTGGCTCTCCTCGTCTTAGCAATCCCAGAACACGTTAGCTGACCCCAGGGACCAAGCCTAGTAGCCTCTGCCCACTGAGCCATCCAGCCTCTAACCCGGTCCACAGACCCACTCCACCGTATTTTGCCATCCTGCCAGAGCCCCTGCCTGGCTCTGCCCATCCTGGAAAAGCTGAGCTTGGAGGCTGAGCCCAGGCAAACCCTGTAAATGAGAGGCCAGGGGAACAGTGACCCCTGAGGGTGGCCCTCTATGTCCTCCATGAAGTGTTGTCTGCCATCCTTGGCAGCACCCAGGGCTAGACAGGACATATCCTGGACAAGGAGGGTCTGAGGGACAGTACCCAGGGCTGGACAGAACTGCACAGGATAGATCCCAGACAGAGAGGGCCTAGGAGATAGCACTCAGGGCTGGATGGCTACATGGGACAGTCCCTGGATGAAGAGGGCCTGGAGGATGGCCCAGAGCCCAGCTGGGAAGCATAGGCAGAAGCTGGATGAGAAGTACCTGAGGGACAGCGCCCAGGGCTGGCTAGCTGTACAGGACAGAAGCCAAATGAATAGGACCTGGAGGGCAGATTCTGGACAAGGAGGGCCCAGGGACAGCGCCCAAGGCTGGGCGGCTGCACAAGACAGAACTTGAACAGGGACAGGCCAGGGAATAGCCCAGAACCCAGCTGCTTCCCACCAAAGGGTCAAGGGTGGTGTGCAATCTTAAGCAGGAACCAGGGCATCAGCTCTGACTCCTGACGCCCCCATGTGGTCAGGGCAGGACATGGTCTACAGGGTGGACAGGGGCAGCGATCATGGCATCAGCTCTGACTCCTGATGCCCCCATGTGGTCAGGGTAGGACGTGCTTCTCAGGGTGTTTTTAGAATTAACTGCCCAAGCTTTTCTGCCAACTTGCCCCATGGATGGACTGGAACGTTTAGCCTTCTCATCAGAAGCTGCTCATCTGAACTGTTTGCACCATAGCCTTCAGGTGTAGAAGGTTGGTGGTACATGAGTCTCAACCACAATTCCAGAGGTCACTGCTTCAGGCGCCAGCAGGAGCACTACAGGAGGCGGAGGTCACACCGAGGACCTCCATCCAGCACACAGAGTTCCTTCTGAGGTTTTTGACCAGCTCTGATGTGATGTGGTTGTAAGTAGTTTAAACATAGTATTTCTTAGGTCCTATGAATTTAGCAACAAGGTTGTTTTATAAAATGTACACTGAAGTATAGTGTGGTTAGTAATTGAGCATGAGACTTTACAATTTGTTTCTCCTTTTTCTTTTATTTCTACTTTAGTCTCAAAGAAGTTATTAATACAGGCTCCCAAATCCAGCTTACCACAATATTGTAGCTAAGACATCAGACATTTACAACAGTGGGTGAATGCCCTTGAGCTGGAATCGACCCATAGCTGACCCTCCAGAGGCTTTTCAGATGTTGACAATTGTACGAGGGGTGACTGCCCAGCTTTGGCATAATCGGTGACTAAACGCAGACTGGAGGGAAGGCAGAGGGTCAGGGATGGAGAGAGGAGGACCCTCACGGAGATGGACTGTCACCGTGACGCTGGTTCTGAGGACGGTTCCGGACAGCTTCCATCTGCTGCCAGGGTCACTCTGAGGTGTTGCTGACTCAGTGGCCCCTAACAGCAACAATGCCCTCCCCCACGGCTCCTGGCCAACCATCAGCCTGTCTCCCATCTCCATGGCTTTATCTCGTCTAGATATTTTGCTCAAATGGGATGCTAGAAAATGTGACTTTTTGTGTTTGGTTTATTTCTCAAGTAAAAAAAAAAAATTTCAGGGGCCATCCGTGCTGTGGGGGATGGGACTCTGTGACTCTTGATGGCTTCTGTTCTGTGTTCCCCCACTGCCTGTTGATCCACTCGTGTCCCCAGCTATTGTGAACAGTGCTGCAATAAACTTTGGTACACACGTGTTGGTACACACAACAAGTTGCTTGGGTAGATAAACTTAGTGGTGGGATTACTGGGCCACACGTAATTTTGGGAGAAGCAAAGCCCTGGTTCCCATGGCAGCTGTGCAGTTTTGCAACATGCAGACATGGGAGGGGCCCATCTCTCTCCATACTCACTAATGCTCACTGATTTCCACATTAGAACACAGCCTGCTCAGGGCAAAGTCCTCATTGTGGTTTTAATCTGCATTTATCTGGCTATTAAGGAGGACAAGAACCTTTCAGTGTGCTTCATGTTCACATTTGTTTATCTTCTCTGAAGAAATTATGTTTTTCAAGTCTTTTGTCAATTTTAAAATTGGGCTGTTTGTGCTTTCCTGACTGAGTTGATTAGGTATTATTGTCATGGCAGGAGTCCAGAACAAAGGCTGCATACTGGAGTGCACTTGGGGGGAGGAATTGGCTAACAATGAAAGAATTTTTCTTTTACTTTTCAAAGAGAAGAACAAATTGGAAGGGAGTAGGTGGGCAGGGAGAAAAGTGCAACAATGAATGAATGGAAATACAAAATCTCTGTAAATTTTCATTAAAATTAATAATAATTTAAAAAAGACAACAAACAACAACAAAAAAGCTCTTTATTCATACTGGTTGTTGTTGTTTACCATTGGGTCGGGAACGACCCATATCTGACTCTTCGGAGGGTTTTCAGAGGAAGTTAATCGCATGAGAGGAGATTGCCCATCGTGCTGCGGGGTGGCTGGTGGCCTTGAGCCCCGCGCCTTCAGGATTGCAGTGCAGTTTCTTGTCAGTAGGCCACCAGAACTCTCTTATACTTCTTATACTTGTCGTCGAATTGAGCATGACTGATAGTGACCCTATGAACAAAAGACCAGAAGCTTTCGATAATTATAGTTTCTCAAAGTTCATAGGGTTTCCAGTGGCATGTTATTTAGGAAGCGGATTGCCACTCTTGCTTCCAATAAACATAGAGCTGGCAAGTGGAAAAGTGTTCAAAGTTCCAGATAAAAAGGTTAATAGATGCCATTTCCCCTATGCTCAATTAGCAATAGTGATTCCTTTTAGCACACGGGGGTGAACTTTGAAGAAACCTGAAATGGGAACCTCAAGTTTTAAATCTTAATCATATAAGTAGAAATGATTACTATATTGGGACACCTTTTATAAGAATCTTTTTTTATTAAATTGGGGAACAGTTCCTAAACTCTTTTCTTGATTCAGCTGTACATCCTGTTTGAACAAATATCAAACAGAAGACTGTCCCTTTTGCTTTTATAATTGTGATGTTTCACTGCAGCCTTCTGTAACTTCTACAAAGTTCATGGTCCCTAATATCACCCCACCCTCCATCTTTCCAGGAGGGGAAAGGGCTACCACAGTGACCTTCTCACTGCTGTCCAGAGTTTCTGGAAACAAGTATTGTTTCTTGTTATTTAAAAGGGACTCAATTTGGGCACTCTGAGTGGATGGTCTACAGGGTTTCTTATGGTGCAAACCACAGTCTTCAGAAGGAAAAATCTCAGGAACTCTAGGAACCAGCACTTCACAGAATTTTGGAAGACAAAATATAGTCAAGTATTGAAGAGTCCAATCCCGTGATAATCATCATAAATCCAGAATCACGACAAACAAGAGAAGAGATTGAGATTATTAACAATTATAGCTTGCTTGGCTCCACAATCAACACTCTTGGCACCAGTAGTCAGGAAATCAAAGGAAGAATTGCATTGGGAAATCTACTGTCAGGACTTCTCCAGAGTACTGAAGAGCAACAATGTCAGTCTAGAGACTAAGATGCACCTGATCCAAGCCATGGTCTTCACAATTACTTGCCATACGTCAGAGAGCTGGACAATGACTATGAATAATAGAAGAACATCAATTCCTTTGAGTTGTGGTCCTGGAGAAGCATATTGAATATGATGGACCACCGTAAGAACAAATAGGTCTGTTCTGGAGAGGGTGAAACCAAGCTGCTCCTTGGAGGCAAGAAATGTGAAGCTCTGTCTGACATACTATACACATGTTACTAGGATGGACCAGTCCTTGGAGAAGGACATCATACTTGGAAAGGTGGACGGAGAGTGCAGGAAAGGTAGACTGTGGATGAGATGCATTGACTCAGTAATGGGTCATTGGGGTAGATGTGTCAGAGACAATGAGGTTGGCTCAAGATAGGACGGGGTTCAGAGTTCTTGTGCATAGGGTCACTGTTGCAAGTGACTGACAGCATATGACAGCACAACAAACAAGTCCAGAACGTGTCTGTGCATATGCATCTGGGGTCAGGGCTAGACCCATATTGTGCTCTGTGGATTTCCAGGTTTTCACTTCTGCTTTGCCAGCAATGACATAGACACCG